CGATTTGTCGCTTTGGTTCCTTCGGTTCCTTTGCTTTGGTTGCTTCCATTGCTTTGGTTGCTTTGGTTGCTTCGATTCGTTGCTTCGGTTGCTTCAGTTGCTTCCGTTTCGTGTTGTCGTTGTCGTCGTTGTTGTCGTTGTCGTTGTCGTTGTCGTTGTCGTTGTCGTTGTCGTTGTCGTTGTCGTTGTCGTTGTTCCTTGTTACTGCTTGTCCCCCTTAGTACATCGATAACACCATTAAAATAGTACGTTAACTGTGACTGCTTTTTCTTATCAGTAGTATTGTTAGTAGTAACTGTGACTGCTTTTTTGCTTGATTGCCTCAACAACAGGAGCAAGAAGTTGAATAGCTGATAAGATGGCCCATTGTCGTGGTTGTCGATTGTCGAGAATTACCTTCACGACTTGAGTTTATTTCACAGAATTTGCCTTGTCAAAAATTGTGAGAATAATTCTTCTCAACTGATGCGCATCAGTTGAGGTTTCGTGATGGATTTTGATACTGTGCTGGTGAGTAGGATGTTAGCGAAGTGTACGTACGTAGACTTGTAGATGATTCTCTACTGTTGCAAAATTTTTTGCATTATTGATTGGTACCTGCATGGTAGACGCGCGGACCGTGCGACGCCACAGTTACTCTACATACCATTACGTACATAGTACTACGTACATTGTACGTTTGCAAGAATTGCAAGAACTCCCGTTTGAGAGCCGTTTTTTTTCGGTTCACGCACCGTACGTCCTTCGTCAGATCTTTTTCTAAAAGTTACAGAAGTAAACCGATGCTTTTTCGATGTTTTCAGTTTTACCGTTTCATCACCGAGTCTCTTTCGTTCGTTTCAACATTTTCCAGTGACAAGTACTAGAACCATCACTGTTGGCCATGCATCGGCACCCCGCTCTAACCGAGGAACCAGCTAGCTATCTACGACAGAGAAGATAAAAGGAAGTTGATTTTGAATACCACGAAATACAATTTATCATAGATCTGACATTCAAAGCTCATAGAATGAAAGAGATATCTGTGTTATGCAACCGTTTCATATGTATTCTTTACATTGCGGCTGCTGTGTGCCTTTTGGGGGGAAGGCAAACTTCAAGTTTTCAATCATCTAGATGCCATATGAGTCGTAACCCAAAACGATGTTTGACAACAGCTCATGAACAGTTTGGGAAAGACGACTGTACAGAATGGGGCCTGATGCATGAAGAAAATGAGAAGAAGTGTCCAGTGACTCCCGTACAAGTTGTCAACGAGGTATTCGAGGCAATCGCTGGAACTTTGTACGGCAAACAGAAGCTGGATCCATCGATTGTTAGCAATGTTAGATCAAAAGGCCTCTACAATTATCGACCATTACGAAGTGATGGCAACGATGGTCGCATTGGAATTGAAATCGACGGAACAGAATTTATGTTTCCTTGGCGCGTTTCTCAGAGCAGGGCACAGAGAATTTTTTCCTTGATCCTTGCGGCCAAACTGTCACGAGATTTATCTTGGAAAGAATACGAAAACACCGATTATTCTGCGGACTCTTTTCGACCAGTTGCCCTTTGTTTCAATACGATCAAGGAAGCTTTGTTGGCACGTCAAGAGATGCAGATCCTACAACGCGATTGGAGAAAAAAGAGCAAAAGAGATGCCTTCGGAAGTGTAATCATTCAAACTATTTCCGATGGTATACCGAAAGATCTTCACCCGCCAAAGACAGGAAAACGAAAATATCGCAGCCTCAAAAACCTTTCTGTAAATGCGACGAAGGGGCTACTTGTGGTTGTGCAACCGACGGATTTCAATAAAGACTTCGATCCTGCCCGACCATCCCTTCACTCACTAAACGACTTCCAAAAGGTGGTGGCAAGTGCTTATGTTGTAGAAACACCGGTTGTGGTGATCTCTCCCCGATTCTTATCTTATGACGAGAAAGATGCCCCATACAACGAGATCAATCAAAGTGGGTTTCAACAAGCCAGTTTTTACGGCGGAATAGAGCCTCCGAGAGGTCCAAACCTCTTTATTTTACGGGACTTGTAAGTTGTTGTTTCTGCGGATTTACTTGATTATTTACCGTTTAAATATATGGTTCAGTCTCTTTTGAAACAGAAGCTCATCAAGAATATTTTTTTTCAGCTCACCTCCATCTTACTGCTGGATCGGTGATGCGCTCGCTGTCGGATCTGGGGATGGATATGGCAAAACTCTTTCCTCTAGATTGATACTTAAAAACTCAGTGATGGATGAGGTAAGAAAACGACCAAATTGTGAGAACCCTATTTGTCGAGGTATGAATTCTTCTTTTTATTCTTAGTTGTTGTCCATTCCTGTCATTTTTCCGAAAAGGGTCACCCCTGGCATATGTATGCCTCGAACAGACAACAACGACGTGTAAGTAAAACTGCAGATAGCAACAACAATAATTGTAGCTCGGTATATCTAGGAAGCACTAGAAGTGCCGCAGGTCGACCGACGAGGGCCCTAATGGAGAGGATACTTCTTGGTAGTAACCTGGATAACAATAGCTATGTCTAATTTGTGGAGAGTATTCTGCATCTTGGTCTCGTAGTATGGTGTGTGCGCGCATCCACTTGAAAGGCCACACGTGGTCCATAACAAAAAGTGTGTCGGCGATAATCCACTATCCTTCCGAAAATAACCTTGAGTTCAAGTTTGCTTCCAATGATGAAAAAGATCCTCATTGCTCATTTGCATTATTAGGTTCTTAACGATGCTTGCTCGTCGCAAAAACAGCCACTTTCTTCAAAAGTAAGAACGGGCCGCAGACGTTCCGAATGGTACCGATCTTTGTCTGGAGGTACTTTTTCGTCGAACACTATAAGAGCTCGAATGTCAAAGGACTCTCTGGGCGGGTGCATCCGCGTAGTTGTGAGTCGTTCCGCGTTATCGGAAAGGGAAGTGATGCCATTATATTCATTGTTTTCTGGTGCACGGTCCTCGTCTATGGACACAGCACAATGCCAAAGATCAGAGGGCTGTGTCACTAATCTATCGTACTGATAGAATACAAGCACCTCGTCGTTTGTCATGTTCGGATAGGTATACCATTTGCTCTGCTCCATGTCTGGACGGGAGTAAGGAAAGGCCGGGAGACTTCTGTTGGCAATACTTCCACTGTCGACAACACTGTACCTGGTTGACAGTACCGCGAGAGGTCTCTTGGTGACGGGTACATTACGATTGGTGTTACGCCAGAAATTGACAACGGCAAAGCGCTTTCGGTCCATTGTTATGCATGTTTTGCACCACTCTCTATCGAATGATGCTTCGTCTCCTTCTCGTTGCCCTATCACTCGATTCTTTTCGACGATTGCGAGAAACTCATCGAGAGATGCATACGCACCGACGTCAGTATCGATGTGGACGGCAGGAGCAACATTTGCGGTAGAAATCGAAACTGAATGTTTGCCTTCTACACGATCTACGTTGTCGACTTGCTGACTCCGGGGAGATGACACCTCGAGGTTTTCACCTCTCAGCATAGGATTCCAGAAACAATGCATCATGATTTTGCTCGAAAACAGAGAGGGAAGCATGTCTTCCAATTCTTTCGTGTAAATGTCTTCGATCTCTCGTTCGTTTCTCCATTCCGTCACACTTGTTGGAGCATTCAAAAGCGTCATTCCATATGATTCCATAAACCTGCGGTGGTAGAGAGAGCTACAACTCGTGTTACTTGATGTTGACTTAGTTTTTGCCATGAGTTCCCTTGCATCGTAAATATCTTCTTCCGCTCTATCGCCACGAACGCCTCCACTCGAAAAGTACGAAACGGAAGCGTTCGTCCAAGAGTCTGATTGGAGCGAGGGATGTCTTCCATAATGTGCCTCAATGTATTCGTTTGCTCCGGAATAATCGATGATTGCCCTTTTCCACGGGTATTGTACTGAGGTCTGGTATGATTCCGGTTCCACTTCTACTCCTGCTTCCAAAGAATATTGGAACCTGGTCGAAAAATACAGATGGTGGTGGCGATGATGTAGACGGTTCGAGCTTGTATAAGTTGTGGTTCCAAATGTTCTTTCGAGACAAAAAGAAGATACTGCATAGAAGAACCCAAATGACCCGATCAAACTAGCAGTAACTGCATTAATCAAATAACACTTGTGGTTCGAGAGCCAGGTATTCCTGGTATTTCTGCTTGAAGAATCCATCATGATAGACGTGATCATGATAGACGTGAACTTCGATCTGTTCTATTCTTCCCAGCCAATGGCTTTGCAACCTTTTCCAACTGGTCGTTGATCCTTGTTCTCTCCCACTGACATAGTCGATAGTGTGTGATATCAAAAATGGGAGAGACGAACGACGATAAAGAAAAATAGACGTCCCATTGTTCTCCTGTTCAGAGTTTCACTTGATAGACACAGTAACGTTCGTGATTTCGAATTTTTTGGTACCAGGAACCATGTCGATTTCAATTTTTGAGGAAAAATTTAGATTCCCAGGCCCCCCTTCCTTGTATGGAAAATTGTGATCAGTTTTGATCACAAAAAAATGTGATCAGAAATAACAAATTTGTAATCAATTTTTTGTGATCAATCTTGATCACAAATTTTGACTGGTTTGTGTAGAATTGGTACTAGTTTCGCTGTTATATTAGATCTTATTATCTGAAAATAAAAAATATTATCAGTCCTGGTGTACTAGGTACATAGTAGTAGACTATTGTACTAGTACTATGCCTTCATCATGATGCCCACAGACATGCCACTACTACTATGTAAAATAAATATACATTTATGAATATGTTATATGAATTGTAATCCAATGTGCTGCAACTCATATATATATATAGAATAGCATACTTACAACAAAACATTCTAATAAAATCAAGTTCATACAATCAAACTTGAACCAATTTTCAAGATTCACTCTTTCCTTAGTGGGAACAAACGAAATTTTTTCTGTTATGTTTGAAAACAATGAAAGCAAGAATCTGGTATCATCCGTTCATAACTTCTGCTGTCTCACACAAATGAATAGAAGTAGCGATTACCGAAGAACTAGTAGAGGAGCAACAAGCAATGAAGGTACAATCATGAATTACTTTTAGTGCACACAGTTCTTGAACCCTATTTACAACGTCAGATAAATAAGTGCGCTGCATTGGCTCACGCGACAGTAACTTTTTGACTCTTGTGGTTTCCAACCAGGATTTCGATCAGATTCAGGTTTTTGTCCGTCTGGCGGTTTTCTTCTAGGAACAATGCTCTCATCTCGGCATGGTCCGCATTCTCTACAGATTCGTGCGGCGTCATTGTCCACAATTCAACGTTTGCAACCACAAACTTCTTTCCTCTGCTTTCTCTTTCTATCAGGCAGGGATTACCGAAGGTTTCGCTGGAACTTGTGAACCCAGTCGCCATTGTTTTGTCTAGTGTAATAGCGTGCCCATAATGGCAATCTTCGGGGTTACTCTTCGTCGAACTTTCATCGCGCTCAATTTCTTCCGCATCGACCTCCTCTTTGATCTCTCCGTGACCCAATGAAATGCCGTTCTTCGTGCAAGATTGCACCCTGTTGTTTCGACTGGTGAACGGAAATACATCCATCTTGCTTTCCATCAGTATTTGTTCCACAACCGATTCGCAGGGCTCAAATCGGGATTGTCTCATTCGCCAGACAAATGATTCTTTGCTGCCATAATATTGATTTGTGCCTTTACTTGGAGATGTCATTCTCCATGGTTGCGACGTGAAGGACCCAAAAACGTAACCGTCCGTGCTCTCGATGGCTAGGATGGTGTGTTGCGATCCTCGACAGTGCCTGAGCAACTTCATAAGACCGGGCCCGTCTCGCACCATTGAGTATTTCAGCCAGTAATGGTGTTCCTGCAGTGATTCCGGCATGAAGTTTTGCAAACCTTCCATTAGTGGCGGGGATAGAACCATTGGTTGAACCGAGACGTCGTCTGCTGACGTGCCAAGAATCTTGAAAGGATTTGAGGTCATGTTCGCTGTCTCCGAAGGGTAGCCCTCTTCGTCCACCTCGACGCCTTCCGTCCGAGACATCCACGTATTGAGATCTGGTAGCTCGGAGTTCCATGATTGCTCGTTCACCGGAACATCATTCGTATCTCCGAGTTTTCCTGTCTTTTCATTTTGGTTGCAATTGTCATTCGTTCCCACACGTTCTTGCTCTATTGTGCAATCGTTGCCTTCTTTTTCATCTTCCATCTCATCACTTGATGGGAAAGGATAGTCTAAAGAGGACTCCTGGGTGTCATCTTGCGTTAATGAATTATTCGGAGGAATCGTTCTCGGTTGTATTGTTGCCACTTTTTTGGCGGATTGATTGCTACTCATTCTCTGAAGAACCACACTGGGCATGATTGTCGTCTTCTCGTGCCATTCCAACAGTTGTTCTTGTACTTGGGAATCGCGCCGTCGAGGCGGTGTCGATGTAGGTGGCAGTGGCATGGATTTTCTCTTTGTTGTCTGTGGTGCTTCATCTAGTGAACCTTCGTTCGTCGCTTCTGCTTCCTCGTCGTCACTATCTGTGGCGGAGGGAAAGATCTCTTTGTCGKACAACCTCGCACTCGCTCTTCTAATAGATTCGGTATCTTCCGATTGAAGCAGTCCTTGCAGGTATCCCCTTTCGCTCGGCGTCAACAAAGAAGATTCTTGCAGAGAATTTTGAAACTCGTTTGGCCGTCTTGAACCAGAAAAACTGTTGTCGCCACCTGTGCCTGTCGTTCCAACAGTTACGCAGCTGTTTTGCCGCACGAAGCTGCCTCCTCCGGTACGATTTGACAAAAAGTACTCTTCCATGTCGATTGGCTTGGACGAAAACGGACTCGCTGAGGAGTTCGGGTTGGTCGTCTGCAAGTCGATCGGTCTCGATGAAAACCGAGGTGCAAATGCCGTTTGCCAAATCGCCTTTAAAAGACCTCGTCTGGCTGCCTGGACATCACTGTTTTGATTGCCAGAGGACGAATCATTTGCGCGGCCATCGTTTGCGAATGACGATGCAATTGTAGGAGAAAGCGAAGAGTTCTCGAAGGAGTCGTCGTTGTTCTTCGTGTTGGTCATTTTTTGGGTTGAGTGCGGTCAATTATTAACTGGTCTTCTTTTGCAGGTAATCTGCTCTTTGACACTGGGTTTCTCGGTAGATAGAAGAGCCAGAGTTTGCTGATGAGCCCATAAACAAGAGATTTTTCGTAGTCTCTTGAAGATAGATGTTTTAGTAACAAGCATTGAGGAAAAAGGAAGACCTAAAAAACGAAATTGTTGCTTTCGTTGTTCGTTGTTCTCGTTCTTTACTGGGATCAAATTGAGTCTTCAGCGGTGACTGAATCTCACTCATGCGGACACAAATTGAAAACTCATTTTCGTGTTTGCCTTCACAGCACATTCACAGCACGTACTGGTTGTAGWACTCGACTAGTAGTACAGAGAGTAATATCAAATAATATCAAGTAAAATATTTACCCTGTAGTAGGATGTTGTACATGCAGTACTAGGTCTTATAATGCAGTGGGCAGCAAGACTGGACTGACACAGTATTGGGATCATTGATGAGCAGCACTCGCATAATCACGCATGAGGCAAATTCTATGGAAAAAGAAACACAACAAGGCGTGAAGGTAATTCTTCTTCTTGTTGACAAAAATCACCTCAAATCATACTACTACTAGCTACTACTAGTAGTAACACTGATATTGACACTCTTATCAGCTACTATCAACCTTGCTCCTGCTGTTGTTGAGGATACTAGCAAGCAAAAAAACACTCACAGTTAACATAGTAGTACTACTATACACAGTACTATTTTTGTTTTTAATTGTATTAGGGAGACAACAGGTAGTACTAGTAAGAAAAGAACTACTATATGACAGCATGGTGCAACAAAGAACAAATATGGCTATTTGTCATTGGGGTCTTTGGGCCCATGAAACAAGTGATGGCCTCAACAACAATGAGCTTCATGTGGCCTCATACTAGCCTTGAGGACAAAGGGCACCACCCTCTTCACTGGACCACCATAGTAAATACTGTAAATCCTACAGATTGCTGCATTGGAAGCAGAACCAGCACTGATCAGTCTTTCCACACAATTCCAGAACTTCTTCCTCCTACAATACTTGCTCTTCCCCCTGATGTCACACTCCTCAGCAGCAAGCAATAAAGTCCTTTGCAGGCCAACCCCAACTTTGCACTCATTCCAGAGGGCATAAAGATTGCAAGGATAGTTACACAGCTCCACTTGACGCTGCAGTGCCTGTTTCTGTTGTTGTTGTTGTTGTTGTTGTTGTTGTTGTTGTTGCTGCTGTTGCTGCTGCTGCTGCTGCTGCTGACCAATGAGGATGAACAGCTGGAGCCATTGAAGTTTTTTGTGATAATGTGATTGCTTGATTAAGCTTCCTGTTGAACCTTGCCTTAGCTGAAATCTGGTGATTCTTGATTTCATTGAATTCATTAACTGCGGAGAACAGGTTGGAGAACATGGCAGCATTCCACTGCAATTGAGTCCTCCTCCTTCTGGTAATACTGCTGCCTCCACCCCCAGAAGCTGCTGCTTGAATGTCATCAGGATCAGCTAGCTCCTCAAAGTGTACTTGCCCTCCTATTTCATTAGCAATAATCTCCACTCTTTTGATAGGCTTGATATTATCATCATCATCCATCCATCTATTACTAGCTCACTGGAAGCTCAGCTGGATACAGGAAACAACAAAATCTCTCTTTATATCATTTGGCAACAAGCCACTTGCCTCCATTGCCAGCTCAAAGCAAGCCCAAAGCAACGCCTTGTCAAGGATTCCAGCAACTTGATGCCAAAAGAAATTTGCAATTGCTGGTGATACTGCAGAGGTGGTGATCCAATAGTCTGTGACTGCAGTTCCCTCAACTGGTTTGTAGTAAGAAGAAATATCTCCAAAGCATAGCTTGCTTAGTACAATGTTAGTAATATCTGGCCTAGGAAGCTGCATATCCATGTATCTATCTTGCTGCTCAGGTGACTTCCATCTAGCTCTATAATCAACATCATTCCTTGCTCCACCATTCTGTCTGGCATCAGTTGTTGTTGCAAACTTGCAAATCAAATGAGTACCAACTTTTCCTTTCATCTCTGGGAGTCTATCAGCAACTTGCCCCTGTTAACTTCTTTGTCCATTTCTACTACAGCAGTAGAGTGTCAATTGGTAACTCCTTCAACAAACAACTACTGACTAGTTGGCCCAGATCCTCCTTGACTCCACGTCTCCAGGAATAGAGCAAGACCAAGTACCACACAAGACCTGTGATCAATCGATCCAAGAAAATTTTCCTTTGGCAATTGCATTCCTCCATTACATTTCTAGACTATTTCATCTTAGCTGTAAGGAACCTGGGGATACTTCCAAGCTGCTTTTTCCTACATGAGCAGTGTCATCATTATCCACCTAACAAAATCAGAAAACCCAGGTGACTGACATTCCTCTTACCATCCACCCACTGGTGAATATTTGTCCAATGTGGAATGCAGATAAAGTAAGTCAAAATCCACAGCTGAAAGTTGTTCCAAAAGGCAAGTTTACAACCTGTCTTAAAAGATACATGGGACAGTTTCAAAACTAAGTTGGAGTCTGAAGGAGTATCCATCAAAGCCCCCCCCCCCACACACACACACACAAACAAACAAGTCTACAAATCCAATTCCTTTGAAACAGAGGCCTTTGACACACTAACCTTTGAATTGACTCCAAGGGGGCAGGGACAGTTGCAATATCATTTTTGTATTGGTAGAAGCACTATTATGGTCACAGAGCTTCTTGTTGTGCTAGTCTGTGTTGCYAGCAACAAAAAATGCAACCACAAATTTTATTCTCACATTCCAAATTATGCCACCATGTATCATTGGATCATTTGCATGCTTCACTCCTGAACAAGATTAAAACGGCTCATAAGCCATCATGTAGGTTGTTAGCATTGTCTACTGACTGATTGCTTTTTCCTTGGGGGTGAAAATATATTGTCTCCCATGCTGGGTCTGATGGAACATACAAGGTTACTGAATATTCCAAGAGTCATGTTTAGAGGACAAAGGGTTCTTATGTTTCTGTACCTATCAACCACAATCCTGTCCATAGTAAAATAAAAGGAACTTGCATTTCATCATTATTTGGGGCACACTTCTTCTTCCACGTTTCCACTTGAGGGTACTATCTTCTGTCAGTTTGGGGTCATGGTAACATGGAGAGGTAGTTTTTTTGGTTCTGTTTGCTGGGAGTGACATATTCTCTTCCCTGATTAAAGACAGGTTGGTTAGAAAAGATTGTAATATATATCAAAAGAACCTAATACAGATTATTTTGTGTCCAACATTATTTCTAGAGCACCAGTTGATGAGTTGTGCTTGTTCAAAACCATCACAAGGTAGTTCAGGAGCCACTTTGTTGTAACATTCTTTATTGGGGAAGATAGTAAGTGTCAATGCCAACAATGTCCAGTGTGGCATTGAGACTATCGAAATTGCACATGTCATCATTGAGGTCTGAATCAACAGCATTCATTGCAGGATTAATCAGGCCACAATCAACTTCTTCCACAGATGGATTATCATTGCGCTGGCATTAAAAAAGCACAATTGTTTAGTAAATTTTTTTAGTTTAGATAATCAGCCCTGTATCTATAACTTGTACTACTAATAATAAACAACCCCCTACAACCCCCTGTACAACTATAATCCTCTCTWAATTAGGAATAACAAACAGGGATATTTATCTCTCTGAAAGGCTGATTGACAAACAAGATACAGCTCAAACTTTTAGTTCAAGATTGAAACAGTTCTACGGTTAAAATACATGCTTCGTGGATTTTGGGTCATCTTTTTTTGGTACTGACTCTTGGGATTGAAAATGTGGACTTGTACTGCCAGTGCAGCAATAGTATATGTTGAAGCAAAAATCAGTCAGTGAGGACCATCTGTGCACAAAACTTTTTGGTTGCACAACTGGTGGGGTTCAAAAATTCAACACTACCGAGCATGTGCAATTTGTCTGTATTTAATTTTAGTCAAACTAGTCATTACACACAAAAAAGGCCCAAAATCTACAACTGTATCGTGAATTTGATTGCCAACTCCTCTAATATATTACTTCTACTTAGTTGTCAAGATTTTCTGGCATGCTGCTTGTGGGTCCATAGTGGTGGGTATTGGATAGGCCAAACTGTTCACTCGCATCCTCCTTGTCCTTGGTGAGTTTGAAAAGAGAAGAATTGAAATCATTGACTCTGTCATCACAATGAGTATATTAGTAAAAAAATGAAGACTTTCTTGTTTCTGGTACTCACAGGTTCAATTCCAGCTTACTAAAATACAAAAAAAATCAAATCATAGTTTTGACACGCAGAAGAGTCGTGCCTTATCGTACTAGTTCAACTCAACGATCCATAAGGGTGTTAGCAACGAGTTGCGATAGGGCCGACGGAGTGCTGGATGTGTGCTTCAGCAAAGCAGCAATTCCAACATTGGACGAATAGTATTCCTTTGCGTAGGTTGGCTGTGAGTTTTGCCACAAGTCGGTGATCGATGCCCTTTTCGCCCCGATTAAATTTCCATTTTTATCATAGGACATTGTTTTCATCAATCGCTCCACCCCAGTATCGTAAATAGGGAAGAAGCCATAATTCGAAAGTGTCTCGAGGACATCTCCTACCGAGTCTAGAGCATCAAGTTCTTGCAGAATATCAGTCGGAAGGCCCAACCGATCATTCTTGTTGAGTGAGACAGTATTGTTTTCCATCGTTATGTCAGCACTCTTTATTCCTGCCCCAACCAAGTGGCGCCGGGAAGTGCGACCCTCATCAAATAGACGAGCAACCATTACTATGGGTTCCATCGTGGCGACGTTTTCGAATCCGAGAGAGGACCACCCAGAACCACTTCCCCAGTCACGATCTATGACGGTAACAATGTCGTCCGGCTTCTTTTCCTTGATGAACGCCTTGATCAGTTTCGATATTCCACCGACAACATTCGTATCTCGCTTCGAGCAGAAACGCAGTAATTCGTGCGAGCGGTGTGGCTTTCCCAATCGCACCACTTTCCGTCTCGTCGAAAACGTGGCTACCGCAACAAGCTCTCCGTCGTTGGTATCATTGCTATTGGCGAACAACCCATAATTGTGTTTTGCCTTTGTGGCACTCCAGAGATGGTGTTCTTCTAAAAATTTCATGGCGATAGCCGCTGATATACGTCGCACTTTTGTTTTTCGAGCAAAAATTCGTCGTATTCCCGTTGTTGTTCGCCCGCCGTCGTGCTTGGAGTATTGCTTTTCTATCGTGCCCTTCGGATCGTGCACTCCTAAACCCAATTGAGCCATCAAGCGGTGGCGGACTATCGGCCTTTTGGAATTCCATTTGTCTTGATGTAAGTGAATTACTTTTGAATACTGAGTATCATTACGATTTTCTTCCTTCTTTCGATTGAAATAGTCCGTGGTGTCTTTTTGAAATTTTGGCGGAAGGCATTCTTCCAACCGAGTAGGTGTGGGGATCAAGTGAAGTGCGATTGTTTTCGTATCATTATCTTTCGTTTCAGAACAATCAGTTGAGTTTATTCTCTTCCTCTCGAGTTCAATTAAAGTGGAGCCAGCTGTTGTTATTGATGGGAAAGCGGTCAGTACACAAGGAGGAAATTCCACACTCCTGTGTGAGACATCTGGCTGTCGATTCAGCCATTCACACACTTCGTCGACAAACACTCGAGAGCTACACCCAGCCTTTTCTCGTTGTCCTTCTTCCGGGTGAAACGAAGCAGAAGTCGACTTGACTGGGGTCGGAAAGCTATCAGCAGGTAGCAACAAACTCGTCCAAAAGGGGGTCGATGGCAAAAGAAACACGACGAGAGATAGCCTTAATAGCCCGTAAGAATCATATCTCTTCATTTGTATATCCTGGTATCTTTAATGGATTGATATCTTCTATCACATTCTGGCCTCAATAATGCAGTACTACCTAGAGGGTGGTTCCAGTTTGTTCATGATGGACAGAGAGATGTCGCGGTGAGTTTCTCATAAGTCGATTTCCACCTCCCAATTTCTTTCGTTCCGTAGTACGAGTACTGTTAGACGATAATACTCCACTGATTGATGAATAGGTAGATAGAGGAGACTTATTGAATGTTGATTATTGTGATTAGGTTTCTAAGTTGGTAAACACAAGAAAAGTGAGATCAATCTTATTCTTGGGTTTTCTTGATAATCAGGCTCTCGTGGCCTTTCTCTCTGGATTTATTTCCCAGGTTTGTCTTGTCCTGTAACGGATTATTTTGAATCGTGCGCACGCCAGTCCGTCCTGGTCTGTCATTCGTACGATGTCCAACACACTCCTGCAATCTATCGGTGGCCTCTTGATCACTGATAAGGTTGTATCGTTTCAGGACTTCGTAATAGTTCCGTTTGTACTTGTCGAAATCACACGATTTGATTCCCAGTACTGCGTTTCGAAACTTGTAAAACAAAGCTCCTTGTACCGGCTTGGTGAAGAAATCTGCAATCATTTCCTCCGTTGGACAGTATTGCACCTTCAAGTGCTTCTTTTGAATGCGATCTGTGACAAAGAAATATCTTATGTCAATGTGCTTACTACCTTTTCCTGCTGAGAATCTACCATTGTTCTCGAGAAGAATTGTACTCTGGTTGTCCTGCATGAGGATATCCTCCTTATCGCATCCACCTTGCGCGATTCAGAACAGTCTGAACCACATTGACTTTGGCAATTTCTCGCCAACCGCTACGATCTCTGTTTCGGTGCTACTTACTGTGTTAAGTTTGAGCTTGGTTGACGAGCTATACATTGCACCTCTTCCTTCAGTGCAGAACACTCCTCCGTGCCCTTTCATATCTGCATGAACGGCGTGAGCTCCATCCATGTATATGGTCGAACCATTTCCGTCGGATCGAAGTATCAAGGGAAGATATCGAGTGTGTTGAATATACTTGGCAAGGTGTGCCAACTTCTTCCAATCGTGCTCATCAGGTGCCTTCACCCTGGTGCACAGAAATCCACATGGCAGTTGAAGATCGACACGGCATCTCATACCTAAATACAGTATGGTCGCCGTTAAAGTGTGGAACATGTCCGCTCGCTTCTTATCGAGTAACTCATTATCTTTTCCGTTGGTCTTGAAAAGATACTCGGGTGCAGCTGTCGGTTTCTCACCGATCATGTCATTTGGAAGCTTGTCTATGAGCTTCTTGACATAGTCATACATGGTTATCTCGACCTGCCCACCAGTGGCGAAGTCTAAAGTCATTCCAAGATACTCGTGCACTTTACCCCGTGTGATCGTCAGAGGATCAGTCTTTCCATACACAGCTGTGAGTTGCTTCAGTACGTCGGTAACGATGATAGGATCGACATGACTAATGATGCCGTCATCTACATGGAACACGATAGTGAGCTGTGATTCGTTCACTGTTTTGTTCCATACACAGGGGTCATATGGATTCATCTCCAAACCCCACTCCTGTAAATGTCCAGTCAACTTCTTGTACGCCAGTATCGCTGCATTCAGCGTCCTGTATATTGCTTTCTTGCATAGGACATATATGATGGGCCGACCTTTCTCTTTTCGAAGATGCTTCTGCCACCGTTCCTTATCATATTCGACTAGCAAAAGAGCAACTGCTCCACTGATTTTGAGGTACAGCTCCTCATCCATATCAGTCTGCAAGAATTGTGCTGGCAAATCAAAAGTTGCTATATCACGCCTTTCCATGGCAATGATAGCTAGGACATACTTTAGGGCCTCGGCTGCTGGTGTTGGGGAGGATACGTCACGTTTATCAGTCCATATACGTTGCGGTCTCCCGTCTGCACATCCGCGTGACTTGAGCTGTCCACTGCGCTTGAAAATCATGAACATGAGTATCGGCAGTGCATTTCGTTTTTGTTCATTGGTTAAGGTCTCATAGTTTACCTCACCAAAACAATCACGTGACACTAAATTTCCTAGCTCTTTCATGACGGATGCCTTGCCTTCCTCACCATGACGCTTCAGTCCCTCTCGTACACTCATTTGTGTCATAGTGTAGTCGCTGATAAAGTCATAGTAGTTGAAATTGTCTTCGATGAAATTGAGCGCTTGAACATAGTTCTGATATTCATGCTTTGACAAAGACCTGATCTTGTCTGGTGATGTGAAATCGGTTATGTTACATACGTGAGTGAGTTCTGCATCGCATCCAAGATTATCGATAGCTTCACTGACGGTCATGTAAATGAAGTCATCATCCTGTGTGCTTCGTACTACACGTCCACTTTGAGTGCGAACTTGGTCTTCTTCAGACATGTCGTCATCCGAGTGTTCTTCGTCCACTCTTGCAGTGTGATYGTCATGATCCACTGCCGTAAGCTGCTCGTCGTCATTGATATCTGGATCTGGTTGATGATCCACTCCTGTAAGCTGTTGGTCGTCATTGAGATCTGGATCTTGTTCATCTATTTCATCAATTGACTCCGTTGATCTATCATCATCCGAATTTTTGATGTCGGGGGGTTCCACTCCTGTAGTATCCGCATTGGCGGTAGGATCATTGGCGGAACTAGTGTTCTCCGTGCTAGACATAGAATTGTTATCTGAATCGGGTGTGATATCAACAGGGATATCAGTATGAACTGTTGGATCGTAGTCTTCATCCTCAGAGTCATCATCGTTATCGGAATCAAAAGTGTCCAATATGTTGTTACGGTTCCCAAAATGTAAGCCTGTTCTGCTCTTTCTTGCCATGCAGTGCAAACGTTTGATCACATCTGCAGGCATGGGCAATAGCTGGTAATTGTCTTTGGTTCGGGTGAGTATATGACCAGTGTCGAGACTAAAGAACAGTACTCCTCCTTGTAGGTTTCCAGACGGGCCAATGGCTATGGCACCAACGGTCCGCTCGCGCATAGTATTGTCTGTGCCCTCATAGGTCTGAGCATACTCGCCAAAGATGACTTGGAAATGCAGCTTGTAATTAAGGACATAGCCCTCAATCAATGTGAGGGGACTAAGCTCTTTTGATATTCCGTCGGGCCATGGAAACGCATTGAGATAGAACACGACATTGCGAAGTAAAGCAATAAGAAGCCTCTTTGGAATTCGCTCAAAAGGAAGCATAGCAAAGGATGATCTGCATCGTTCCTTTATGACGCGAATGAAACGTTCGATCTCAGGAACGTGTTCTTCCTTCGATACAAGATTGACGGATATCTGATGAGCCTTGAATCGGTCAGCGAGGGACTTGAATTGCATATCCACCAAGATGTGGTCTACTGTGAACCCCCGCAATTGGTAAGACTGTATCACTGCTTGAAGTGCGTGTTCAAGGTCAGTTGCCTTCAACGTGGGCAGCGCACATACTGATCCATAGTGTATGCCACGCAAGATTGTGGCAAGGAAAGGAATTTGGTTGACATGTAGAACGTCAGCCGCTAGAGTGACACTCCTGTAATCCTCGAGGACATTGGATGGCAGTGGGACTAAATCCTGTGTCTCCACTTGGGCACTCTGTCGTGCTGTTCGTTTTCCTTTCAAGCCATATACACTGGGTCCGAGAATCTTCCTCATAATTCCAACGTCCCGTGTGGTGAATGGGAAATCATTGATCGATCGGCGACTCGCCGCTGCAGCAAGTACTTGGTCACTTGGATGTGCTGCGATATGTTGAAATCGACGTAGCTTCTCRACCTTAAGAACATCGCGTTTTGTATACTTGTTCTTGTTGTTCTCCACGGTTTCGATGACACCATGTTCGGTTAGGTTTGTACCATTGTATGACGTGCGGCGTGTCGCTGATACCGTATCTCCGAAAACAGTATTTGGTTTGCCTGCTCCAAAAGACTCCGCACAATTGTAATAGTACAACCCTTTTCCATCTGGTTGGAAACGGCAGATGGTCCCATTAGGGGTTTCCATTCGGAAAGACTTGTCTCTTCTTCCTTGTGGATCCGGTCGACTGGAGTAATCTATCTCGAAACCTGCTGTTTCTTGAATTGCGTGGAAAGACAATATATTTGCGATACCGTCACGATGTAGCCATACGGTCCCAACACCAGGTAGTTCACCTACTTCGTTTATGGTTGCACTTCCTGCATTGGTGTGGAGTATGAGATGTTTCTTCGTGGTTCGGATGTTGATCAGGAACATTGGGTTCCAGAATATGTGAATTGTAGATTGGTTGTCCAGCAAAACCCAAAAACGGTCTAGCCTTCCGTGCAAGTTCTTCATATTCAAACAGTGTCGATGATTTCCTCGGAGGTCCTCCACATAAACGTCTGTCAAGGCCTCAACCGCACTATGAATGAAACCATAGGCATGTTGTATTTCTTCTTTATCCAGTTCATCGTCAAAATCAAAATCCGAAGAATCCACCATGGTTGTGGTTTCCGTGTCCCCACAGTCAGATGAACCGACCATGAGATTGGTCTCTGTCTTGCTCGGTGTCTTGTTGTGTTTTCGATTCTTGATGGGCACTCCATTGATATCTGTATTGTAGGTACAATTGGGCGATATATGGTCTTTACGTCCACAACGATAACACACAATCTTCTTTTCAGATTGTTTATTGATTATCTTGTCATGCTGCTCTCCCTCAGGTGCATTAGCAACGTCTACACCTTGGAGAAATCCGACTTTTGGTTGAATGCGTGTCCTGGCATTCGGGCCTTGACATTGCTATTCTGATCAGATTGTTGGTTGTTGGTCCTATTGCCACTTCCCTTCGATTTACTCTTTTGTTCAGTTGTGTAATTCCTTAGGAGAGCATAGGCGTCATCAACAGTCTGTGGAATGTGGTCGGTTCCTTTGGTGAAATCGTTCCTGAGATCCYGTCTGCAGTCCGAGTAGCGATCCCCAGCCTGCTTCATGAAGATGAGCGCGAAGAATTGCTCTTCACAGTGGTTATCGATATCCGCTGCGTATTCATTGTACACTTGAGTCTTGGTTCCCATTTCCTCCTTGAGCTTCTTAGTGAGAAGATAGTCCTTGTGTTGTTGTGCTAGGATGTCGATTCCGGCCAATTGATCTCACTTTTCTTGTGTTTATGTTAGACGATAATCTCGCAGCTATCACTCCACTGATTGATGAATAGGTAGATAGAGGAGACTTATTGAATGTTGATTATTGTGATTAGGTTTCTAAGTTGGTAAACACAAGAAAAGTGAGATCAATCTTATTCTTGGGTTTTCTTGATAATCAGGCTCTCGTGGCCTTTCTCTCTGGATTTATTTCCCAGGTTTGTCTTGTCCTGTAACGGATTATTTTGAATCGTGCGCACGCCAGTCCGTCCTGGTCTGTCATTCGTACGATGTCCAACAAGTACCCGGTACTAGTCGCATGTTGTTTCATTGCTGATCGGTTTCAATCGTGTATGAATGAAGCACGTCTCAGAAAGAATTACATGTCCAATGACCAACAATGAACAAAGCAAAGGAAGAACAATCTCAGAACTCTTATGAGCAATATTACTACTAGTACTACCTGCATAACGGGTTTGGTTATGGTGGTTGCTAGCTAGCTACTTTTACTAAAGGCAAGAAATCTAGTAGTACTACTACTAGTAGCTATGAAATGACTGGTGAAACTTGTTTCTCATCTGGTGGTGGTTCTTCTTTTATAATGCCGGGTGTGTTTTCATAGTAGTAGTACTACTACTAGTAGTAGTAGTACCAAAAAGTCTCCATTTGAAGAGATCTGCAAGCTAGTACAATATGACAAGCTGAACATTACTTTATTTGATGAATGCAACCTAAAAAGTAGCATCCATATTTGTCCAAAATTGAACCCAAGGGAATCCTTGAGATGCAAACTGTACATTATTACTTTGGACAGGATGTAACACAACTTAGAGGGCCCTTTGTCATTATTCAAGGAGGGCAGGTAGTTTGAGACCAAAAAGTGGTAGTTTGAGAAATGTTGAACATATGTTGGGCTGCTAAGTCTATCCCCTGAGCCAATAAGCTGTCCCACGAACAAAGGAGAAATCGCAATGATCCTTGTTGGCTATTGCACGATTGCTAGACTATGTACGGTAGGTAGGAAATATTGTACATGACTGTTTGCTGCTAGTTAGATATCTTCTCGGAAATAATTACTTCAACGACTGAGGAAAGCAAATGCATTTTTGTCCTACAGAGAGATGCCATTCGTATCACGCAACAGGTTGTAAGTTTCCTTTGCAAAAATGAACCTTGATGTCAGAGACCGGACAAATTTCCGGGTCCCCCAACTTAGGAACGACCTCAATCGGTCGTCGGTCTTCTGTTCCGTTCTCATCGTCTATACAATCGTGATTCTTCGGAGGCGCCAAGAGGAACCAGCCCCTTGGTTTTTGGGTGACGGAGTCCGCCTCTCTCATCGACTTATAGAGTTCCTCAACCCCAACCCAATAGGGGGCATACTTGAAGCGAGCAACATCCAGGACCAATACCTGATCAGTTTTTTCGTGATAGGCTGCGATAGGAGAAAAGTGACCATCCCCGGTCTGTCCTAGTGCAAACCTCGAGAACGAAACAACTAATATGGGTTGATGTCTCGCTTTCGTGTTCGAGAGTATCAAACGAATGTCGTTTCGAAAATCCTCGAGGGAAAACGATTCGTCCCCTTCGTTGCGTTTGCAGTCGCTCTCAAGAAAGCTGCTGTCGTTGTTCTTAGACCGATCCAGTTCTTGGTCTTTGACAACTGGGCGTTTGAGGTCGATGGTGAGCCCGTGGCATCGTCCCAAGCGGGCAAAATCTTCTAGGACGATTCCCTGGCGACGAATGCGTTCCGCACTGAAACAACATCGGTTTAGGAGGACGTCTTCGCTTCCGTAAAATCTCCAGCCGCCCCGCCATCGGATGTTAGGGTCGATGCACATGGCATTGAGGCACATCAATAGGGTGGTTACCCCGCAAAAGGCAGGATCCGATTGGTTGACGAAATGCTCCGTGAGCTTCCAATAGGATTCCGCCGTCCCTTCAGCAAAGGCCTCCATCAGGTATCGCTTTCCCTGTTGCGATGAAAAGGCGGTCAGCTGGGCCGGCAGGACTCGTTTGTGCACCGAGTATTTTGGTTCTTCTAGGGCCGGAGGGAGATCGTTCACCTCGTCCTCGTGGTGATTGTTTCCGCACGGAAAACGAGGTATGTTGTTCGTATTGTTAAGAGAATAACAGCAACTACCGTTTGCAGCCGAGTTTGCATTCCCAATGTTCAACTTGTTCAGATTTTGTGCGCTTACATGTGAATATCGGTGCTGATAACGTGTTTGTGTAGCGTTTGCTGTTGTTGAGTCATAGTTTCTATTCACGTTGTCCAGAAAGTTGTCCAAGTCAGTGTTATCATAGTGCTGGTCATCAACGTCATCGTAGTGGTGATATACAGCGACGGAAGAAAAAGGGCGCTTATGTTTTGTATCTGGTTCTTTTGTTGTTGGGTTTGCATTTTTAATCGAATTCGGGCTTTCCCGTTGTGACGGAACAGTTGTCATTGCTTCCATAAAAGCGGAAGTCGAAGATGATGGACCCGGCAAAGACGCCGAAGTTGAATAGAAGACGACCSGTGATCGAGCCTTCCGACAAACGATTCTTGCATGCATCATATCGTGTGCTTCTTAGCTGTTGATCTGCCGTTTCGTCCCGAACGTGAAATGATAGTTGTTCTTGCTGTTACGTTTGCAGGTGGGTGGGTGTCTATTTTGTGTTAGAAGAACCCGTGAAGTGGTCCTTGCTTTCCATGCAAAAGTGGATACTGCGAAAGAACAATATCGATAAATGCAAATCAACGCATCTATGGGATTCATTAACGGCGTGACTTTATTGGCGCCAAAATTTGGTGTCGTTGCTTTGTTATTCTATCAAAACGATTTCTAGTTCGGAATTACTTACGGCGTACGAAGGACCTTGGACGACGTTGTTATTCGAGAAACGGAATCATGCTTGCAGCATGTGAATTGCATGGTGTAAACATGCTTTTTGGAAGCGTTGCGGTTTGGTTGGTTCGTGTGTGAATGAAAATATGTTAGATTATCTTTAACCTTAATATAGTAAAAACATTCCTAATTGCCCTCACGTCAGCTGATTTGTTGATTTGGCGGGAAACGTCACCTGCAAAAAGCTCACAACAGTACCGGAGTTGTGGATTGGACTCTTCATCATATCTATTATGAGTATGAACATAAAAAGTTCCAATCAAGGATTCAGGATTCTCTTCTTTACTTCTAGTAGCTACGTACATACGTACGGTACGATACTGTACTTCAAAGTACTGTACTCTGTACATTACAGCAGGGGTCATAATTTAGAGGGGTGCGCATCGCATCGAAAACTCATATTCCATGTGTGTCCGAAATTGGAAAATGTCACCCCAGGATTTTTGGAGAATTAACTCATTTCCTTGTTTTACAAACGACATAAACTCATTTCCTTGCATATTTCCGTTTTTAGTGAATTGTAAACTCATTTCCTTGCATTCRGCCATTTTATAAACTCATTTCCTTGCATTCTCTAAGTAATCAAAATTCTGCCGTTAAACAACAGGAAAAACCAATGCTACMACCACAACGCAGTACACCAGCACAAAACAGTCATAAATTCAACAAAGCAACAACCAAAAGACCAAGAACCACCATGGTTGGAGGACGCTGGTGATGCTACGGAACGCTGGGAATGCTTACAAGAAGGTGCRGAGGATGCTGATGCGGAACGCTGATACGGAACGCTGATACGAGTCGGCTGATACGAGTCCGCGGATACTCCGCTGATACGTGTCGCTGATACCGAGGTTGCTGATACGGAGGTTGCTGATACGAGGATGCTGATACGGATCCGCTTGTACCGCTGATACGAGCCGCTGATACGAGCTGCTGATACGAAGGCTCGCTGATACGGAGGATGCTGATACGGAGGACGCTGATACGAGCCGCTGATACGAGCCGCTGATACGAGCCGCTGATACGAGCCGCTGATACGAAGGCTCGCTGATACGGAGGATGCTGATACGGAGGACGCTGATACGGAGGACGCTGATACGAGCCGCTGATACGAGCCGCTGATACGAGCCGCTGATACGGAGATGCTGATACGGAGGATGCTGATACGGCTTCCGCTGATACNGAGGATGCTGATACGGCTTCCGCTGATACGGAGGACGCTGATACGAGCCGCTGATACGGAGATGCTGATACGAGTCGCTGATACGGAGGATGCTGATACGAGCCACTGATACTGATACGGAGGATGCTGATGCGGAACGCTGATACGAGTCGCTGATAGAAGCCGCTGATACGGAGGCAAGTTGCTGATACGCTAGTATGAAGAAACAAAACAATACAGAGGGGATATAAAACACTAGTACCATTACTATCTCTCCTATTTTCATGCTTTTATTATTATTTCTATTGCAAGGAGCACCATGGTCGTTGGCGCTTGTCTTGTATTTCAACACTGTATTGTTGTGCAGTAGCACGGTAGTTTAACGTCATACTCCTAAGTGATGCATTGGTTTTTCCTGTTGTTTAACGGCAGAATTTTGATTACTTAGAGAATGCAAGGAAATGAGTTTATAAAATGGCCGAATGCAAGGAAATGAGTTTACAATTCACTAAAAACGGAAATATGCAAGGAAATGAGTTTATGTCGTTTGTAAAACAAGGAAATGGGTTAATGGTCCCAGGATTTTTTGACAACTCAATTTTTACTGCATATCACTGCTAAAAGTGTACCTGAAAGACCCCCTACACAGGAACACTTCCAAACACTCTCTGATTTTCAAACTTTGTATGCACATCTCTCATATAGTTGAGAGTCAAATAGTAAGTGTTTGTCATATTTTAATGCTGTCTGCGGTTCAAARTTTTAAGTGCTGACACAGGGCTGGTGGTAGTAACAGACTAGTACTTTATTTGCAGTAGAAATAGTCTGTCCTTTGTCCAGTCAGTCCCACCAGTCTMGTCCTTAGCAAAAATTCGGACTGTCTGTCCTTCATCCGATTCTCCCACTACTTCCCCAGTAGTAATTTCTACTAATAATCTAGTCAATATTCAACAGTGAAAAGGTACACTATCATTTCAWTTGATACATRACATATTGGCATATTCAGAATCCTCATGAAAAGTTGGGCTAGATAGTGTACTCAAAAATTCTAATKGTAGTATTTTTGATAATGTTGGAACTGCTTAAAGRTTGGATAGTTTTACTAGTATTATGCAGTAAAAATGAAGTTGTCAAAAAATCCTGGGGTGACATTTTCCAATTTCGGACACACATGGAATAATGAAATTCTGATCCTGTACGAGAAAAAAAAACTGTCGCGCACCCCTCTAAATTATGACCCCTGCATTACAGTACATTACTTTCTTATCTTATCATACCTATGATGGGTATGAGTATATCATCACCTGCAAAGTACGTGTTGCGCTGACATCTGACATGGTACGTACCGGTACCGGCCGGTACGGTACAGAGGTCTACGATACTCGTACAAAGTACGGGGGATCACGTAGAATGTCGTTGTTTTCTGAGTTCCGCGTTTGAAATACGGGGTAAAATCTCATCGAGTCGCTCTTCAAGCAAACTGCTAGTAGGATATTCCTTTTGATGCCGTTAGCTGATACAGGATCGTGTTAATCAATCAATAGGCTCGGCGCAGTTCAACACCCCATCCCTCCACGAACATAGAAAAGCTAGGTCAATATGAGCTCTGTCTTGAAGGGAGTCCGTTGTCCCGTCGCCGTGGCACTTGTCGCTCTGATCGTTATCCTTTCCTCCCAAAGATGCCTATCCTTTGGACTCGGAAAGGTCTTCTCGAGATTCGGATCATCTTCCCCTTCCTTGTCCGTGCCAGGTATCGGAGAAAAGAATAAAATAACCGAGCAGGTCCAAACTGCAAAGAAAGAATTGATAGAGACTATATCCAACACGAATAATGGCAAGGAATCGTCGCTCGACACTCAAATAAGGGTTCTAGGCCTCATTGATTATTTGGAAACCAATGCACCCGTGAGTGAATCTCTTTTGACCGATAAAACCGAATCCGACGCTATTGACGGGGTTTGGTACCTCCAATACACACAGCCTTCGGAACCCGAAGGAGTCGATATGGAAAACGATATCAAGCCGTGGACACCGGAAGAAACCGCAATCACCAAGGAATTCGAAAAGAGCATACAGGTTAAGAACAGTGGTTCCGTGAGCTTTCTGGGTTTGTTGAATGTTGACACTTCCAAAAGACTTACAACACAGACCATCGGAGTCGAAAAGAAATTGTTTGCCAACGCTGTCGAACAAGATTTTGGAACCATCGAGGTGAAGGGATTTTTTGAGATTGATTCCGTACCAAATCGTATCATCGCTTCCTTCGAAAACGGGACACTCACCCTAAAGAGTGGCTTCGTGATTGACTTCAGTTTTCTCTTTGCCTTACGATCGTATTTAAACGGTGGACTCAAGGCCGGTGGATGGCTCGAAACGACATACATCGACAAGGACATTCGAATCGGAAGAGGGAACAGAGGAAGTCTTTTCATTCTGTCGCGAGACGAAGACACAATTGTCCCCTGAATAATTACGAATAAACCATTATATATTCTTTTCTTCCAAGTCTTGCATTACACATATCTAGAATTTGATCATCGTTTGATTGTCCCAATATGCAATCTATAGGTGCTGATGGATGCTTATTGGCGTGGAATAACTTATTATGAGACATGCTTAGTACAGGTATTTATGAAATTTTATTCAGTGTTCCCATTGAAACAAAATGCTTCTACTCGTCACATTTTGCTCTGTTTATTGTTTCTTCATTATAAAACTTTTTTTGAGTTCGCAGGCGAGAAACTTCTATAATTTAAATTTCAAGCCGTGAGTTAGGTGAATTGTAATAGCCAATTTCTTCATCGGGACTGCTCGCGAAACTCTTTTCTTCCTTTTTTGTTTCACTCGACCACTGCAACGGAGAGAACGATTCCTGCGTTGCGAATGGGTCGGGATTTTTTGAGAATAGATCGTCATCGGTATCGATCTTCAATTGCTCGGCTTCTTCACCGTCAATTCCGAACGGATCAAAGACCTCTTGTTTGGGTTGTTTCTTGGCCTCCATTGCAATCGTTGTTGCTTTTTTGCGCTGCTGTTCCTTCTCTATAGAACGCAACGATTGCGGTGGTTTCTTCAAGATTAAAGGCGTAGGTCCTGGATCGGAGGTTGGTTTGTTGTCGCCAGTCCCTTTATTTGCGTCCTCTACATCTGATGAAACTGATGCGTCCTCGACCACCATGGAATCCTCGATATCGGGATCACAATCCAACCACTTGTCTGTTTCATCAAACGTGATCGCCTCATCGCGCTCATCGTTAGACGCCGAGCTCGTCGCCCAAATATCGATCACCTGGTTGTCTACCGACTTTCTCGAATGGCCAGAGCCACGATCGTCAACATCAGGGGTCTTCTTACTTGGTATTAAACTGCGGTTTGCTTTCGGTGTGGATGCCTCTGCCTCTTCGAAATATCTGAGTCTATACTTATCATTATCTCTTGGGGATGGGTCAAGACGGGGGAGGCCCGACCCACCAGCTCTTGGGGTGGTGGCGCCCACCGTTAGTGCCGGTGCTGTCGTCAAATTTGGTTCTCCTACAGCAACTTCGAGGTTCATTTGTTCAAATTGGGCTGATATGATCTTATCTTCCTTCTTGGTGATTATGCGTTCATCTTCCACGTAAACACTCATGTCTTCACTGTTATATGTTGCACTAGTTCGGGACCGAGCACTTGCAGATTTGAATGATTCAGATGCACCTAATCCTCGTGAGGTCGTATCGCCACGACTTATATAAGAGTCGTCGTCATAAAATGGAATATTTTTGGGAGCAACGGGCTCATTTGAAATCTCGTACTTTTCCAATGGATCCTCGCTAATCTTTTCGCCAAGAATTTTGTCTTCGTCGATAGAAAGGTCGCCACTCTTTTTCTCCTCAATGAAAGAATCACTGTAAGAGTCAACAGGCGGTACCTCTTTTGATGTTTCGTGACCTTTTTCTTCAAGCTCAGACGGTACATTCTGTTCAACCTCGTTCTTAGAAGATGCATGATTGTCATTCGACTCCACAATAGCCGGTGCTTTCGATACTTCATTTGCTCCTTCTGTGGCAGGCAACGACAAAGAAGGATCATTCGGGTTTGATGAACGATTTTGCCATGTTTGCACAACGCTGTGTTTGGTATCATTCTCCCATGGTTTATTCTGGCTCGACGACTCATGGAGAAGTTCTTGAACCATTTGATTCATTTCTCCAGCTCCGAGATTCTCGGCTACATTGGTATGCTTCCCAACATCCGAGATATCATCTATAAGCATTTCTTGAATAATGTCAGTCGCCGTTTCATCTACATCCTCTCCTTCGACTGCTTCTTGTTCGGTGTTTTCATCGCCGTCGCAAGGCCAATCTACCGCCACTTCGGACGCACCCTTGGTCTCCTCATCGGCTTTACTATTCTGAGAATACATTAGAGATACAATCGAGGAGGCCGGGACATCATTTGGTTCGACACGCTTTGGTACATCATCTTTGGGTTTGTTGTTCTGAGAGTACATCAAAGAGACGATTGAGGAGGCCGGTACATCATTTGGTTCGTTACGCTTTGGTAGGTCATCTTTGGGTTTCGCATTCTGAGAATACATCAAAGAGGCGATTGAGGAGGCTGGTACTTTATTTGGCTCGACACGCCTTGGCGTGTTTTCATTGGGTTTCTTGTTCTGAGAATACATGAAAGAGACGACTGAGGATGACGATGGAGTATTAGATTTCGGCACGTTGGTTTGAGGTTCTAAGGCTCGAACATTGTTGGAACGAACCGGGGTGTCAGGCACGTCGTGATCGATTGGTCGTGGCTTGCATCTTTGCTGCCATGAGGGTACGGCACTTGATGGTTTGTTGTGATCGCCATATTTTGGAGTTTTGGACGCCGAACTTTGTGTCTCTTGCCGAGGCATATTAACTGGGCTTTCCACCCTCCACGACGAATTGTAGTATTGTCGCACACGCGAATCATTTTTGTTCTCGAAAGATTTTGGATCATCTTTTCTTGCATGATGTTTCTGGCTCCAAGGGGAAGCTACCACAGGATGACTGGGACTAGGACTAGGAGCACTCCTTGGTGTTGAATGAGCGAGTGATGCCGATGGACCAGTTTGAACCCGCAATGAGTTTTTGTACTGCTGCTGCTGCTGCTGCTGCTGCGGAGCAACCGTCTCCGTGGCAGGACGAAATCTCGAAGACACAACGCTGCCAGATTTGATGGAAGATGGGGATTTTCCGGATCCTGGGGATGGCAAGCCGCCGAAACTTTGGCGCACGCGAGCGTCAGTACTATTCATGGGCATGAGTGGTGTCGCATTTTGAGAATTAAACATGGCATGCAAGCTAGACACGCTTGATTTCTCCGGTGTTTCGATAATCGCCCCGTAAGCCTCCTTCTCGTGGCTTTTTTTCGTTTCTGTTTCCTTTTGCACCGGCTTCAGCATATGCTTATACATAGAAACTTGAGATTCCAAAGATTTCCTGCCACCAATCGTGGCCTGCTTCGCGTGCGGGGATCCAAATTTTGCAGCAGAAAACGATCTTTGCATCTTGGGCGATTCATTTACTTTTGTCCTTGCGTTGCCACTCCAGCTATTTCTGGAATATGCTGCACCGTTCGTAGAATGGGTGTTGTTCCATTTTTGCTGTTGGGAAGAATAGGAAGAATCAGCGCTGCCAGAGCTAGTCGTCGGACTCCTCGACACAACCACCCGACCACCTACAAACTGTTTCTGAGAAGATGAGGGAGACTCTGCGGGAACAACCACACGATTGCTTCTGAACTGTTGACGAGAAGGGGAAGGTGAATCCATGGGGAAACCCACATTATTACCACTGAATTGTTTATGAGATGGGGAGGGTGAGTCAACCGCATGATTACCTTTGAACTGTTGATGAGAAGGATAGGGTGACTCAACAGGAACAACCACCCTATTGCTTCTTAGCTGTTGCTGAGAAGGGAAGGATGCCTGCATGTTAGGTCTGGTCGCTGCCGAGGGACTTCGGCTGACAACGACGCGGCCACCTTGCGGTTGAATGGCAGTTGATGGATATTGATGTTCACCGACTCTGTTTGATGCACTGTCCAATGATGTCTGCCGTTCACTAGTAAAACTATCGGGATCGTGTCCTCGATGTTTCTGGTTGTTTTTATCGTTCCAAGTCTTGAACTTGTTGGCATGCTTAACATGCGTTGGTTCCGGCAAAGGTGGCGGTGGAGGAGGTGGTGGGGATGCCCTGCCGTTAGCGTAAGGTCCTGTGCCCAAATCGCGTTGAAAACTCTTTAGTTTTTGAGTAATTTTGCCGGTGCTATTCGGTTCGTGCCTTCCGTCGTAATCCTCCATTTCATTTGACTGATACAGCGAAGATTCACAAGGTGACGAAGCAAACGGAAAAGCCGAAGCTTCTGGCGTCTTTGGAGTTTGCGGAGTACTAGGGTTTGAACGATTCATTTTGTTTGTCATTGAGGCTTTTGTTGAAATAGCGATCATCCGCTGCCTTCGATTTGCAATTCTAGTCGGGGATGGCGATGCCACAACCTCATTTTTCGTGGGTTTGGCAGCAGACGTCGCATTGACAGAAAAGCGCGATCGATCGACTTTGTTTCGAAGCCTCTGTTGCCTGATTCTCTCTTCCAGTTTTGAGGCGGAATTTCCAGTTACGGTCGTCGAAAGGCTTCCAGCAGAAGCTACAGATGCATTGTCCTTGTCCCCTCCACCTACGGATGAGGTTTCACAGCTCGTGCTACTTTTGAGTTGCTGAGCGTAGGCGATACTTCGCTGGCGACGCGAGCGCGCTAGGCGCTCTTGCATCGTGTTATTCACCATGGTGCTTTGATTCTAACTTGTTGTTTGGCAGATGTATTCACAGCGATGCACTTCACAAAGACTCGTTCCGATCCCTTTCTCAAAAAATACCGTGCTTAGTGCCGTCTTCGTCTCCAACGCCACTTCAGCTCGCCTTTCCTAATGTCGACTATTGCAGAATAGGACGACAAATACTTTGTTTTAAGTTGTCTTAATTAGTGCTGGCGAAAGCGTCAACTCCATCGATTTTCTTCCGTAGAAATCGAAGCATTCGCGGTAAAAAAGGTGCGGGCTCGGTATGTCGATCGTACAATCCGATGAACGGTGATCCGGATCGGAAAAAATAAGCGATAAGACATCAATGAAATTCCTTTTGGTAGTATCAAGATTTTTTCCAGACATAGAAATATACAAAAATGTATGTAATATAACGGCTTTCGTGAGCAAGGCGAACGCGGGGTTCGTTCTACGGAAAATGCAAGTTTCTTGCCTCATTTTTTGCAACTACGTACGTACCGAATGGTACACTACAAGGTACGTACAGTACCGGACCAAACGAATCGTATCATACTCCTCTCAAATAATCATGTTTCGAACTCGTTTTTGATTGATGATGAATTACGAATTACTGCAATGGATAATAGTCCACAATATTCTATTCCAATGTATGCGTTGCCCCCATTTATTCGACCTTTGAAAGCGAGATCTGTGAAKTTTTTTTGGACACTGATGTTGCACATCTACCAGAGCAAGCGCACATAACATACGGCACATAACATATAGGCTAATTCGATGATTTCTACGTCTCCAACACGTTTTCCTCGATGCATTCTTGTTGATACACATGAATCGTCATCTTGATGTAGGTTACTTGGCATTCCTTCTGTACACGGACTTCCAATAATGACGTTATTGTTTTCCTAATTCAAACATAGGTTTTGGCTTAGTTCTGTGCATTGTAGGAATATGCTTTTTGTGTTGTTGCATCGACCTGTGCGGTAGCACTCTTTGTATAATGTTGAGATATTTGTGTAGTAGGCCCAGTACAGACTAGTACAACGCTATCCTACGTTGGGATTTTCGATCCGATACTTCTTATTGGTAATAATATTATACAGCGACCTACAACGCGATCTAGTTTCACGACCGTAGAGTTGATGCGTCTAGCGAAGATCGAGCTCGTCGTCGTCCAAATCCGATTCGCTGTCATCTCCAAAATCGAGAGCGTCCATTTCGTCTTGCAGAGCTTTCGAGTCGACAGCATTGGCTGCAGCGACATCTTTCTCGTACCCAGTTTTCATGTTTGATAGTTCTGCCAACGAGGGCGTTGTCTTTTTCGATCCAGAGGACGATGATTTTGATGAAGTACTCTTCTTCTTCGAATGCTTCGACGAGGATTCCTTTTTCGACGAAGATTCTACATTCCTACGCGCCACTCCGCTGATACGGATCATTGTCAAGACATCGCGCAAGCTTTCGTGCAGATTTCCGATTGCGGCTCGGTTACTCATCGCTGTCGATCTCGTCTCCTCAAGGGCCTCCTCGTCTCGCATCTTCACAGCTCGAAAGAGTTCCTCCCCAAGTTTGCATTCTCTCGAGGAYAAGTATGCTGTTTTTTGTACGTGACGGTTCAAAAATTCTTGCTCGGCAGCGATTGGATCCCCCATCGCCAGCGTTAGAATTGTCTCTGCGACAAATGATCTCGACAAGGTCAGCGAGGAGATTCCATCTCGACCCAGAATAGTGGATACAGCCCCCTGTGCATACAGTGCTGACGGATATTCACCGAATGAAACAAGAATATAAACCACCTCCTGAACAGATTCGTGTGCGTACGGTCTGGAAACGATGTGTTGTTCTGCAAATTCCAATGTTCGTGCGGATGGATTCTCGACAGTCTCGTCGGAATCCGGGTTGATGTAGGCGGAGATTCCGGTTTGACGGTAGCGTGCGTACGGATTCAACGGATCCGGGACGTGGGCTTCTACGGATTCTTCGAGGGCTGCCAAGGYCATTTTAGGCAGCACTTGCGAATCGTCACCCCATGTCAAGGCCAGTGCAGCATCAACCTTGGAACTTGCAGCTTTCCCGGGTTCGCCCATGTTGAGCCAGGCATCGGCAGCGTTCAACAAGCACTTTCGTCCGACCTCGCGCTTCATTTCCGTGGTTTCATCCTCGGCAACTTCAAACAACTCAGCGGCGCGTGTGTATTCTGCAGCCGCCGTGGCGTACGAACCACATCTCACCTGACAATCGGCGCTGCTGATTCGATACATCCGTTCCAAACGATACTCGTTGCACTTTTGGTAGGAATCGGCAGCTCGTTTGTAATATGTCGACGCAGCCAGAGGATCGGGTCGGGAGAAAATGCCCTTCTGCATCGCCTTTTTGGCTTTGTCACAAAATTCTGCGGCTTCCTTCAGTTTCGCTTCTTTCGCTGTTCCAGTGAGACCAACACTCATCGATGGCTTCTTCTTGGAAGAAACGTATTTATATCCTCTTGAAGTAGATGGCCCCTTCGGTGCTGCCACCGGGGCTCCCGATGAAGTACTCTTCGACTTGCTTTTACTGCTTGACTTTTTCTTCTTGCCTTCCCCGCTGGACTTTCCTGCCCCACCGAAGAGTGCATCTCGATTAGCCGACGTATTTTGCTTGTAACTCATTCTCGTTCTGTGTTCCGTTCTATCCTCGAGAAGATGGTGACGATGACGACGATGTTGATATCTTACGATTGATATCTTACGATACGAAGGTTTCTCAAAACCCCAGTATTGTTGACGACCGCTTAGAAGAGTCTATGGATGGTCGCCGTTGAATACGGTCATTGCCGTTACAGAGAAATCTAATCTATTCACTTCACGGATCTAGAACACCTTTTCAAAATGCTCACACACTGAACGCGGTCGAAAAAAACTCATTTGGTGCCATTCCGGTAGGGGCTATTTTTGTGTAGCTGGAAATACGAACGGTTATTCAGACGTTAGTATGACCTTGAAAATAACTACTTCCTCCGGTCCGCTATATGTGTCATTTTAGAACCTTTATTAGTACTGAAATACACAAAAATTTGGGCAATTGGAATGCTTCTTTTTTGATTAACAGATCTATTATAAATRTATACAAGTATGAAGATTGTATTAATTGAAAGCGTCTGACATACTTGTGGTAGTTACTTTAAGCAGAGGGCCTTTTTCGGCATATCAATGTGATTTTACTGTCAGTTGGGTTCCAACAGTCATTTTGATATGCCGCTACTTGCATATGATTGCTAAGAGCGACACATTTTTGAGGGTGTAATTCTCATTATTATTGGTACCTTTCTTCTACCACCAGTCATTCTGGTTCCAAAGAGKTGCACTGGACCATTGTCAATGCAAACTTATGACACATACTCCTATGGGACCGGAGGAAGTACTTCACTACTACTACAGTAGTACACCTCTGTCCAAAAATAATACAACGGCTAGTACAGCAGCACTTTGCACCTCTCTGGTTGGATTAAGCTCAATATTGGGGCAATCAGAATGGTTCTTTTTGCAATACACCCCAGCGCCTCCAAGTTCACCTCTTATACTCCCAGCAGTACTACTAGTAGTACTAGCAACAACAGTTGCACTATAATTCTGGTTGCTGACAAGAAACAAATGCATGACAAGAACAAAGCATGTAGAATCAGYAGCTACAACATCAGGAGGACCTGTCATCTCCTTCTTCACAATTTGCAAAGAAGGAGAACAAGAAACAGCAGCAGGACAGCAGAGAAGAAGCATACTGCTGTACTACTAGTAGTACATCAGTAAGGGAGGCACTCGGAGTTATTATGGCGTGTAAAAGAACAACATCATCACTGGCTGGTACTGCTGAGAACTTGTTTGGTTCAATGTCCAAAACAGGTACAAGCAAGAAAATTTGCCACAAAACCACCTGGTACTATCTGTTGTCAGTATTGTATCTCCTCAAGTTAATTTGCTGTACAATACTTCCCTGAAGGCAAACACTCTTAAAGTTGCACTGGGATACACAATATCATCTTTTCTTGTTGCATTAACTTGCAAGGAAAAGCAATAGATTCCTTGTTGCTGTAAACAAGGTTTTATTGGAATGCTGAAGGCTTGCCTAGCCCCTGGCCCCTGTCTGCTCAACAATATGTGAATCTGTATAGTACTACTAGACCATTGCTACCAACTTTTGCTGAACACTTAAAAGGTTACAAAGAATGCTGGGAACAAGAAGATTGAGGAAAGGAGACTGAAATAGATCACTTATTAATTTTGCTGGCATGTGTCCAATACAGCTCATGTGACTCAGCCTACTAACTGTAATTATGGACACTTCAAGACACTCTACCAAAAAACTTGAGACACTTGCTGCTCATCATTGGCACATGCAAAATGATAATCTTTTCCAGTCTGATTATCCACTTTTAGTTTTTCAAAAGAGCAATGCAAAGATGTATGGAACACGGATTGCACTGTTCACACATAAATGCCTAGAGGATGAAAAATTTCAGCATGAACTGATATTATTCTTGCCAGATGGATTAATTGATTTGACCACACATCCAAAGACAGCAGCACTAGTTGCACTGGAGCAGAAGAACACTGCTGCAATGAGAGTCTTGAATGATGCTGCTTCAACAGTGAAGTTTTTTGTAAGCATGCACCATACTAGAAGAGTGTACAGTTGGTGCAACAAKTGATGGAACCAAATACTAGAGCTTGCCAAGATGCAATTGCAGGGCTTTGCACCAGGGGTTAAGTATTTGAGCCAGCACTTTACCACAACAGGCAGCAGAGGTACACTCAACATAAAGGACTGGTTCATTTCAAAGAAAAGAACAATGCTATTAGATTAGATTAAGCACCTTGAGGCACTGAAGAAGGCTGCTGTTTCAGCAAAAACACTCAATAGCAAAGCTATTTGTGTAAACCCTGGTATATTAATTTTTGCAAATAAATTAGTACTTACCTTGACCAAAATAAATTATTCATTTTTAACAAAAACATTCAGTCATTATTGTGGCAACGAGAAGTCATTCTAGCAATAACTTAGTTTTTGCACCGTAGTAAGCCTAGTAAGCCGCCACCCTTCAAGAGCAACAACAGCAACAAGAATGGCAGCAGCAACCAATATTTGATGCTGTGAATCATCATCCGTTGAGAAAACTGTGATCAGAATTGATCACAAAATTTTGTGATCAAGAAACTCAGACATTTTGTGATAATTGGCTACGGTGCACTACACTGCACTTCAGTAACTTTAGTGCACGGTAGCCAGTAACTTTGAAGAATTCTTACAGCCCTCCTGGACTTACCAAGGAAACAAAAAGAAACTTGTTTTTAGTGTGGATTTGTACAAACCCTGGTATACCATTTTTTGCAAATAAATTAGTACCTTGACCAAAAATAGATTATTCATTTTTAACTTAAACATTCAGTCATTGTTGTGACAACAAGTCATTCTAGTCGGAATAACCTTGCACGAGATTACGTGTACTCTTAGTAGGTGTTAAGTGTGTATGAAAATCGAATTATAAGATTAAGATAAGATTAAGATTCTCGCGCTCCGACGTGAGCTTTCAGTAGACCTGATTAGATCCTGTGTAGCTCTCGGTACTAAATCTACACAGGGTTCTTATTATTCTGATCTACTGACKTCTTTGTTCCGTGCGAGGTATTCTATTTCTGATATCGTAGACCTCTTAAGTGTTCGGTCCTCTTTATATTGGATCCTATGCTGCATACATAGGAAACGTACCTTACGATAGGTACGTAGGAATGGTATGATCCTTCATTCCTTTCTTCGGAGCTTCGTATCGTATCGTACGTATCCTTCCAATACAGTACGTACGTATCCGTTGCATTATCCCAC